CTCAACAGCCTAAGACCATCGATAAACTTTACGTTAGCAGAGGAAGTCGACACGAGCCTTACATTCCTAGATGTCAGGGTGACGAAGAACAAGGGGCAGATAGAAATCTTAGTATACAGGAAATCAGCACACACATGTCGATACTTTTATTATTCTTCAAGCCATTCTGTGACCACGAAGAAAGGGTGATACGAACTCTCGCTGATCCAGCTAAGGATATCTGCAGCACACGGGCAAGTTTAGAAGAGAAGACCCGTAAGAATAAGGAAGATCTGGCAAACAATAGATACCCAAGAAGAATAGAAGAAAATGTTTTGCAAGAGGATTCTACAATCAGGAGAAGCATGCATGATGAACAACAGCACACCGTCACAATGCCGTACGTGGAAGCTATTTCTAGTAGAACGCTACGGAGCTTTCTCACAAAAACCAAACTCAGGAATCTGGGCACCAAGGGCTGAATATAGCAGGTTTAATTTGAATGTGGAAAAGTTCACGTCGGGGAGACGAAGAGATTACTAGCCGATCACATGCCGAAACGGATAAATGAGGGATAGCAGAACACTCATGGAGAGAACACCACGAGATAAACTGGGAAGACACCAAGATCATACATAAAGAAGCACACTGGTATCGCCAGAAATTCAAGGAGGCAGCTTACATATTCAGCACCAGTAACGTGTATAGTAATTCCAGCATAGATAAATATATCAAACTAATATGGGAGACCATCAGCAGCATCAAGACGCTACGGTTAAACAACCAGGGCAGACCTTCCGGAGAACACATGACCACCAACCAGCCAGATCGCCCAGGACACGTCATCACATAGGACACGTCAGCGATAAGAGTATAAATAGCCGTGGAAGGGACATGTATTCCTAATCCAGTTCACCTAAAGATGTTTGAAGGTAGAATCAATCGACACGTGATCTCAAAAATTGTAGACAATGGACGTCCGAAATAAAACTTTTGAAATGGTTCCCTTTTAATGTCGAAGTAGTATTTCTCACGTTTTGAGGTCCATAAACGATGTGTTGCAACAGTTCTGTGTGGGCTTTCCCTTTTTTTTTTTGAAGGCTTTTGGCCTATTCGAGACGAGGGTGGCGTATCAGTTACATTAAAAAACCGACAGATAACCTCATGCTCGCTTGTCCTTGTGAAAAAAACTAGATACGTCCATTTTTGATAGCCGGAATACTTATCATCAGGCGGTTCTGGGTTATGCTGGTTTTGCGTGGTAGCATGTTAAAAATGTTAATGATAACGTCGCGCAATTGCAACACGTTATAGGATCTTTCACACTATTGTAGTAACGCACTGTATAGGAATATGAAAATGAAAAGTGAAAACAAACGAAGTATCTGGAAAACAAATAAATAAAATATGTCAAAGTCATTGTACTGAAGAAGGTCCGATTGTGCCCGAAACGTTACAATAAAGAAGATTTTTTCAACACATGTTATTTAGATTGGCCACTGAAATATGGCGACTGATAGAAATTACTATCAGAAGCCCAATGCTTACTTACTGATACACCCTGTATATAGCACATCCCTATACGTTCCGATTTGTTTCAGATTCGGACAGGCAGGGGCAAGTCGCTGGAATCGCTGGAGGATCCTAACGAAAGGACTCATCACACGTTCACTGCTGATAACACGCAATCTTTCTACTACCAACAGCCTGTAGGATGGCGGATACGTTCCTATGACGATGGGGATATCACGCCTACCAATGAGACTGCGTTATTGTATGAAGGAGGTGGCACCTTGCCTCGACCTAGGTATTTTATACTCATTTACACACATCAGAAAGAATAAAAAAGAAGAGGCAATCGTATGTCAATAGTTACCGATTATAGGCCAACCTAACTGGCCATCTTAGGCCTCTGGCGCTCTAGCTCCCAGAACCAATAATATTTTGAAAAAACGTTTGCAGAGGAGGAGGGTAGTGTTAGCTGACTAGCATAGGTATAAAATATAAGCTCTTGGGGAAGCAGCAAAACGCAATCGAAGTCCGGCTAGAAAGAACGTGATTCTTTGTTTAAGTCAAGCTTTCGAAAAAATGTTTATTCTCTGACATATGACATACGACAAAGAATAATGAATGTCAGTTAAATCCATTCCAATAATAATGAGAAAACTACTTACAAGACGAGCAATAAAAAACTGAGGAAAACCATTACTTACAAAAATAAAAAATTCACAGATCACAAAAGAAAATATTGATCAATATGAACACTTTGAGAATGGAATATTTAAAATTATGCTATTATTAGTTCAAAATATTTTAACTAATGAACGTGGGGGTTGCTAAATGGCCGCAATGCAGTGCATGAATTCATCAAGTTGAATTTTGAGAGAGAAGGAAACGTTTTCATACCATCTGGTTCCAAGATAGAGGCTTACGCTTTACTGCGATTTAAAATAATCATATGTTTGTATGTGTGTGCGAGAAAGAGAGAGAGAGACAGCAGACAGACAGTGCACACGATTTTCCAACGAGGATCATTTCATTCAAGATACAAATATTTGGTATTACACAATAATTTTACTCGTCAAAAAATTGTTCATGAGAATGTTTCCGCGTTTCGATTGATCTGCCATATAAATTTCAGTTTAAACTGTAACTGCAAGTTTCTTTCTTCACACATTCCAATTGGAGAAAGCTTTACAGAAAAACTCCAAAGTGTGAGAGCTGAAAAAGAAATCCAAAAACTTTTATAATACAGCTCTTCCATAATAGAACTTTCCTAAGCAACTGATTACATTATTATACGATTGCTTTATGAATGAATGAATCTTGAAATTAGAGGCATTCCGGCCACCATAAGGAGCCAGTGCATATGCCGCTTAAGCGGGCCCTTATGCACCTCTACATTCCTTAGATCACAAGCCTCGCCCTTTTAGTGAAGTTGAGAATCGCCTTGAGTCCAAGCTCCTTGACCTCCTGAGGGTCCAAAGTAATGGACCCCAGTATAGTCTGCCTATAGTAGCTTAGAGCTTCACAGCGACACAAAACGTGCGCCGAGGTCTCTTCCTCTACTCCGCAGCGTTCACACAAGGGATCCTCAGCCACCCCCATCCCGTGCAGGTGGCGCATTGCTTTATCTATCTATCCTTATCCAAACATATCCAAGTCTTTTTTCACATTTAATTCCTACATAGTTTTCCTTTTTATATCTTTGTCGTTTTTTTATTTGTTTTATTTTATCTCTTTTTTCATATTTTTTTATTCCACTTTCTTTTCTTCCATATTTTTTAATCATTTCTCCATATTTATTTTTTTTACAATCATTATTTTTCATTTTTATTCACATTGTTCTCTTTTGCTTTTATCTTTTTTCTATTATATTTCTGACTTGTCTCCTTAACAGACACAACTGATCCTACTTTGGTACATCAATTTTAAATTGGTTGGATTTCCAAACATTGTCCTTGTAGATAGACAACATGCATTTTATGTATTTCCATAATTAATTACAACTAAACACATCCATCAGGGCGGCCAAAGGACTCTTAAATACACTAGAAAAATCTTAAGTTGCCCCTGACAATGACAACAAAAATGTTTCATATTTCAGACTGCCATATTTTTTCTTTTCACTCACATATATTTTTTTCATTGTTTTTTTTTTGTAATGTCTTTTTCTCATTTTCAATCCAAGTATGTGTTCTTTTATTTTTATTTTATGACAATGTTTATATCGGGTGTTTTTTTCGTGTTGTTTCTCATTAATTTTTTGTTTTTGGTTAGTACGTTTTTCTCGCCTTATTCAATTTTTTAAATATTTTTGTGTGTATTTCCATTGATTCTGTTTTCAAAAATGTTCATTACATTGCTCCTTATTCTACGCATATATATATATATATATATATATATATATATATATATATATATATATATATATATATAACAAAAATAGTTTTGACTGAATGTTGACTTGTTGAAAGTTGAAACATCTAACATTAACCTCCAAAAAACATAAATTGAGGGGCTAAATTAAAAAAAAACAAGAAATATTATGATTATCTACGAGTAGCATTATAACGAACAAAAAAAGAATGTTTGAAACGATAGGCTTGTTTTGATCTTTACCTTTCTTTATCTTTTGATTTCTTGTTTTGCTTTGATCAACGAGCTCTGTTCACGACTACACAGGATATTTTTGGGGGATTTGATGGTATTTCGTACCGCAAATGAAGAATTTTCCAGTAACATTACCTATGGGAGTTCCAAATCAAGAAATAATACCAATTCTAGCATTACATAAATACATTTTTTTATATGCAATATTTTTTTTTAATTCTTTTTACATGTTTGCCTTGTTTTTTACCTTTTTCTTTGTTCTTTTTGTAATTTTTTTCTTTTGTACTCTTCTTTTCTTTTAATGTAAATGGTTTTTTCTTTATTCATCCTTTCTGAACCTAGATGTTTTTCAAGTAATTCCATTTTTTACTTGTTATAAATACACCGTATCCTAACAAACATATAGTTGATCCTGGTTCATGACAATAAGTTTACAACTTGCAAGATCTCCCTGATCTAACATCATCTATAAATCTACACGTAATACAAACATTCAATTAAACTGATATACAATCCCATTACCATACATTACATTCGTGTATTTCCTCATAGATACAAATATTATTAGTCACTAAAACGCTACTGTTAACCAACCTCTTGAACTGTATAAAAACTTATATTTATATCGTTCAACAAGTTTTCCTCAGTTTGCTCCAACTGCAAAAGCTCAAAAACGGTGTAACGTTACATATAGACTACAAGAAATCCTCCATCTTGTAAGACAATTTTAAAGGAAATGCTCGATCATAAAATTCTTATTTTCACAACAAATCATTTTTCTGCAAAATTACTCAGCATATATTCTAATTGAATAAAAATTCATTGTTTTAAGGAAACATTTTTTATTCAGTAGATATCGGGGGAGTTCCGTTTTTGATTTGTGTACACATTTTTTACAATTTATTGCACTAAACCTTGGCAACTTCAACAGCAATGCGGTCAACCTGACATCAAACCCATAATTTTCAAGAATATACTTCCAAAATCACTGTATCCTAATTTTTTTTCAGAGGAGTAATACGTCCAAGACCAGTGGCCAAAATCGCAGCGAAGGCTAGGGAAACCTTTCCTGATTTTGAAAAACCACAGTTCAACCCTGAGAAGTATGGCAATCCGCAGTACAAGACGCTTCCAAGGGAAATCATAGATAGCAATAAGTATCACATGCAGTACAGTAGGTATGTATTATCTATTATCGGATTTCTTAGGGGATAAATATTATAAATCAAAAATTGAAGGAAGTTCCTTAAAGTATTTTTTTTTTCATAAGTATGTGCTAATGTGTTGATATTTGAAAAACGACTGAATGAAGAAAACGTGTTGAGGATTCTAAGGACACTAAAAAACTGTATTCATGTACTCCCACTTCAAGTTACCAGAGGTAATATAATCGCAAGAAACATTGAAATCAAGATACTGTTTGATTTCCCACACCAATCAGCGAGAAACTATTGTAATCAGGTAAATTTTGCTAAATGGTGAAAGACCCATGGCACTCATTTCCGTCAGTTCTTGTCTGTGAAAGTATCGCTCGTATTTTGATATTTCGTTTCATTTCTCTACATTCGAAAGAGTTATTTTCAAAAATATTTTGAAGAGGTTGAAAATTGGTGGTTCGGGGTTATAGGGGGCGGGGGTTGTAAATACTGTAATATCCGGGTGAAATAGACATATTGCTTTCCTTCTCTCTAATCATGACCAACCGCAGACAGCGCTGTTTGCTAATTAGCAACTCATCAGTGCGGTATATGCCTTGTCTTGTAGACAGGCAAACAGGACGCAAAACAAGTGAATATGGTCTTTCAAAAAACTTGAAACACTTTGCGCGAGTAGATGAGATGACAGAGACCGCACCACAATCACGGTCGACTGTCAAGTTAAACATTAGACATTAGAATCTAATGTGAATAAATCTGATTTATTGACCACTCAAGATACAGTGTGCATGTAGCATGCCAGCTATAGGTACAAATACAATGTGTACACTAAGCGTGCTTTCAATTAAAAAAAAGGTCAAAATGGATCTAAAATACGTACAGTGTAAAATACATAAAAACAATCTAAACACAAATAACTTAAAACGATACAATAAAAAACATGATTAAAAAAATTATCGGTTCATATTTAAAGATGCATTAACGCTGTAAAATGCTTGTCTCATGAGGAAGCTTCTAACTTCTGCTTTGAATTTAGTGTAGCTTTTGAGTGCCCTAATACTCTGAGGTAAATAAGACGACACAGATATAGGAAGGAGACTTTTTGAAGTATGAGGCAGAATGTTTCTGAATGAGTTTCATATTGACATTTCGGGTGTTATATTGATGATCTTGTGACAGGTCAGGAAATAGATTATCAAGATAGTAACCCATCTGACAATACAAACAGAAGAAAGTGTGAAAATGCTGCTCTTTGTAAACACCTGTCTGCAAGATTCGGCAGGCTTTATGTTAATTATGAGTCTTAGTAATCGTTTTTGAGCAATAAATACACTATCAGTTTCGATAAAGTTACCCTGTCATGATGTTGTGCTCGAAAGACTAAGTATTTCCAGCGGAAACCAGAAATGACATTGTATGCATAGAAGATGTAGAGGTCTAGGAAACACCCAAGTGAACATACCTAGTCAAGTTTCATTACCATTTGAGTGTTTAGAATAGACATGACTCAGTCTTTCTTGAACATTTAAAATGAAAGTACACTTTTTTTGATGCCACTTAAATGGATGAAATTGCTTGTGAATTTTCGACGTTTTCCACGTTCTGGTTTTTTTTAATAGAGCATAGGCCAAAAGGTTTTAGAGTTAGAAAAAAGTGAAATTTGATATCTCATATTTCATTTAATGATGTTAAGGATTTCCTGTTTGTTTCTGTCCCATAAATGGCAGCAGGATCTTAAATTCGTTTTACTTTCACGCCTACTGACGGGGAAGTATTGTAATGATAAAAATTTTCGTAAATGTGATATGTTTTGTGGATTTTTATAGAACATGTACATCACGAAAAAACATGTGACTCATGTCTGTCCAGTCTGTCCTTCGGCCTGTCTGTCGGTTTGACTATCGGTCTGTCTCTGTGTGTCGGTCTGTCTGAAATAAAATTTGGGATTGGGGGGATTTTCTGATGTGAGTATAATTCTACGCTTCTAACCTTGGTAATTCTACGCAGCTATTAGACATATTTCACACATCATAGATATCTCCATACATTAACCATTAAAACTTCAGTACAAAGTTATAAATTAGAATTTTCCCCGGATTTTTTTTGCGTTTTCAAAGACTTTGATAAGCTTTACGAGAAATCACCACCGCGCCCGCTTAGTGTGTAATTAAATCACATCACAGAAAAAAATAGGAACGACGGATCACACACAAAACATTTTCACAGTGCCTCAAATCTAGGCGCTGATTTGTAGTTTCTACTTAACGTCGCAAAATAAATGTCTATAAAATTTAAATGACTGGATATAAAAAATAACGTAAAATATAATAACCTTTTCATGTTTCATAAATATCATTCCTGTTTGTTGCCTATTTTCTAACCAGTTAATTGTTATGTATATACTTCACCAGCCAGGGATTTTCTTTTTTTATTTCTCGCATTTTTTAAATTCAGCAAATCTGCATGTTTTTTCCAGATTAAAGCATACATCTCAAGTAAGTGTATTTGATACAAGAAACTACGGAAATTATCATCAACGCAGATTATTAGCACACAAATCCTCCTTATGCACATTTGCCCTGCCTTCTAGCTATTGTATACAACTTACAGCTTAAACCTCCAACAATACCATTTCTGGAGCAGATGTTACATCACATCAGAGCCAAACATTGATAGCATGATTTTTAAGCAACGAGTGCACATGAAGTAGACAATAGCTAGTTCTAAGCTGACATCTTGTAGAAAAACCTTCATAATGTGACAAAAAACCTATGTATATGTCAGAAAAACCGACAGATTGTCGCTTTTAAAGATGCGTAATACCCGTGCAGGTGATCAGCTTTCTAACTATATGTTTCTTTATTTCCAGTCCCCTGATGGGCAAGAAGATCCCTCCGAATCCCCCTAAACGCAGCGACAGCGACGTCAGCTGCACCGAAACAACCACCGTGGAGATCCACCATCACCACCCACCCCATATGCACCACCATCATCACGTGCACCATCACCACACTGCCATGGGTCCGGCAGCGAGCTCGGCACTGCCGCTGCCCGCGTACCCCAGTTCGGACAGCCTGAGCATCTCGTTGGACGGAGGCGGCGACCTTCCGCTGCCGCCCCCTCCAGCACCGGGAACGCCTCCTCACCCCGCCTCCAAGCTTAACCAATCGCAATCCTGGGGCGCTGAAGAGCAGGAGCTGATCAAGACTTTAGCGTTGCAACATCGCAACGGCAGCGATGCCAGTTTTAAGGTACCGGAGGATATTTGCTTGGTGGAGTTGAGTTAGTTGTCTCTGTCTCGTGCAGGTTTTTATGGCGGTATGTGTTTGGTGGAGCGGTTGAGATGATCTAGATTGTTTTGTGATACGAAGAATTACATGAAACAAGAAACTTAGGCTGAGTTCATCTGAGCGGATGATGACTCCTCAACGTAGAATATTGTATTTTTTTAAAAACTTCAGGATCCTTCACGACAATGTTGGTATGAATATCTGATCACGTAAAAATGTCAGCCCTGTTGATAACCATCGTTAATGTCAAAGTTCGTACTATTCATCTAGTCAAAATTGCATGTATAGAATCTGAGTCAGAATTATAGACCTTCCTTGAAGCTGCCTTGGAAACAATGGATATCTCCTTGGAAACAATGAAACTATTATGCTTCCTTGAGGATCGTTCGAGAGATGATTCAAATTTTCATTTCACAGTAGGCTGCAACAGTTGTCATCATAAGCTGTCATCGATGTCGGAAAGATTTTTCTGTTTGCCGTACCTAGTTAGCATTTTGATGTTAACATTGGGACGCTTTGGTTTATTTGTGCTAAATATCAATAAACAATACAAAATAATGTGTTAAGTAAAAAACTGAATATAGGCAACCATTTGGGGCGAACTGCTCCGCAGATTGTAGATAAAGTCTATCACATTCAACTATCACAGTATTTGACACAAAAAAACATTATTTGAACCCGAATTTTACATTCTAAGTTATAGTGTGTGGCAATAAAAAAACAAGTTTAGCGATAAGAAGATGCATTTTATCGAAATATTAGACAAATTCAAAGGGATCATTGGAAATAAAAACAGATAACAGTAGCAGAGCAGTTCAGTGCAACTGGTTGCACTTATCTGTAATTGCCCTGTAATTTGAGGAAGCAAACACATTATTTTGCATTGTGTATTGATATTTAGCACAAATAAATACAATCGTCCCAAGTTTATCATCGAAATGCCAAATAGATACAGCCAGTATAGAAAAATCTTTCTGCCATCGGTGACAGCTTGTGATGACAACTGTTACACCCTATTGTGGAATGAAAATTTAAATCCTCCTTTGAACGTTCCTCAAGGTAACGTCATTATGTCACTGTTTCCACTATTTTCATTATTCCATGAAACCTCAAGCCTGAAGGAAGGTCTATAAATCTAAGTATTCCTTCATTTAAATCTTGAAAACTGTGCATCCTAGAAAAAGTTTCAAACAAAACTTGTATGGGAAAATAAGGCTGACCTTGACATTGACCTTGAGCATAACTTTTAAAGTCATTTCAAGATTAAGTGGGCACATTTCCAATTAGAACCTCCCTGTTTACTTCGTAATTGAAAAGATGAGTAAATTTTTCTTCTGAATATGACAATCATCATGACTTTGACTACTTCCTTCAAGGCCAATTCGATGTCTAATCATGACGTTGAAAACAATTTGCTCGAGCAAAAATGTTCGAAAACATAAATGCGAGTTTGTGAGATCACCCAAAGGTAACCTTGACCATGGACTTCAAGGTCAG